TAATATGAATATCAGATCCTCACCCAGTATGCCCAGGATCAGGAAATATGGATTATATGCCGCTGCCACGGAATTTCGCGACTATTAATCGTCGTGACCAAAATTTGGCTTCTAGTCAAATGTGACGAAAGTATCGGAGTGGTCTAAAACAGAAGACATATAATGCCACATCTACTCTTAGGTTGATTTGAAATTGAGAGACTTAGGCATTATTGCTCATTATGCCACATCTAACGCTATTTTGGTCATTTAAAATCTGCCCTTAAAACGAATTCGATGCGATAGATTAAGACTTCGTATTAAAGATGTAGATGAGCCACTCCCAGTATCTACTTCAAAGGCCAGACCATAAGAAGGTCTCTGTTACAGTAAAAGATACTCGAAGTAGTTCATCTGCAGGGTCAGCGCTGGTAGCAATGACTACTACAAAATCACCTGCTTCCGTTATCCATTGGGAATGTTCCTCAGACCAGAAGGAGAGCGCGTATTTATCTAAGGTAAAATGGCAAGTTCGCCTTTCCCCCTTGGCGAGATAGACCTTCTGGAAAGCCTTAAATTCTTTTTTAGGCCGTTGAACTGAGCACTCCAGATCTGTAATGTACACCTGAATGACCTCTGAACCGTCATAGGTTCCCACGTTAGTAACGTCTACCGAAATGTTGAAAACGACATCGTTCATCCCTCCAACCACCCTAGGGCAAACTACATCTGGGACAATCAAGTTCGAGTACTCAAAATCAGTGTATGATAGGCCATATCCAAAATAAAAGAGCGGTGGTCGGTCAATCATCTCATAATACCGATGTCCAACAAAAATACCTTCACCATAGACGATGTGACGGTCGGCTTTACCAAAGTTCAAGAATGTCGGGGTGTCTTCGAGTCGCCTCGGAAATGTTATTGACAGTCTCCCTGACGGATTGACGGCCCCCAATAATACATCAGCAATTGCATGTCCTGTCTCCTGGCCGCCTAGCCAAGCATGTACAAGAGTATCTGTGGCCTCGATCCAAGGCATCTCAAAAGGCATTCCGGCCTGAGTGATTACAATCTGTGATATATTCAGCATCCAGTCTCTCTGGGAAAGTTCACACACTCACTGTTTTTGGGTTGGCTTCAGCAACTCGCTGTATCATTTCATCCATTCGACCTGGCAGTTTTAGACTTGCACGATCGGAAGCCTCATATTCGTAATCAGAACTCAAGCCGGCCAACACAATTGGAATGTCAACATTTCGTGCCAAATCCACGGCCTCATTAATGGCCTCGTCCTCATCTCGAATTTTCTGCCCTCCAAGGCGAACACCACCAGGTGGAGTAGGTCCAATATGTGCTTTGTCGGTCTCATTTGTCATAATAATGACGATGTCATACTTTTGGCCAAATTCCACATCGAGATCTATCAGCCTTTCCATTGATAGCTTGTTAAAACAAGGGGTGTCGGCTGTCTTTTTGGGATGGTCTGTCCATAGATCAACCACTTCTCTTCCGTTAATGATAAGCTTTGCCTTCCCACAGACACTAAGAGCGAAGCGATATTTGCAGGTCTCCTCTGGTGCAAAAATTGTCTTGATCCGAATGAAATGGGTATCTGGCACAGATTCCAATATCATTTGGCTAAAATACATAGATGTACTTAATGTTGTTGTAGAATGAACGCATGGAGTGCCGTTGACTTTAGTCGGATCTTCTCCAAACCATTCAAGGAGTAAACCAGGTTCTGGGGATTTAGGAATAGTAAGGCCACTTGTTATTAATGGAGTCCATCTGCGGGCTGAGATTGTCAGCTAGAGTTTGGAAAGGGGGTTCTCCAGGGACCAAGCGACTCACAATAACAACCATCATGGTACTGAATCCTGTCGGCACCCAGTGCTTCCACGATTGCATCAAATGGTGTACTAACGTAGAAAGGGGCTACTTCTGAGCTTCCCCCTCCGCAAGTAGCTGGTATTTTAAAGTGTTCGCCAATCAAGCCGATTGTCTGAATTGATTCTTTAGCCAGTGGAAGGATGTGTCTATGATTTTTTAGAAGGACAATGGCATCGGCGGCCACTTTTCGGGTTAGTGCTCGACTTTCTTCTGTATCTCCAGTTTCGTTCTCTCTAGGAGCGGTAGGGTTGTGGGTTCTGTCTACAAGCTTTAGTACGTTCCTAACGGCAGTATCTATCGCTTTCATTGGCACTTTCCGACATTCGACTGCGGAAACCAACTGCTTGCCTCTCCAAATGGCAGGTCCGGGCATTTCTAAATCGAGGCCAGCGTTGACGGCCTCGGAAGTGCTGTAAGTGCCCCACCAGTCACTCATGACCAGGCCATCAAACTTCCATTCCTTGCGGAGAATCTCTGTCAACATAAATGGGCTCTCGCTCACATGAAGACCATTGATGCGATTATACGATGCCATAAACGCCCATGGCTGGGACTTCATTGCAATTTGGAACGGCATAAGGTGAATTTCACGTAACGTTCGTTCCGTCATATGGACATCATCTTCAGTCGCCATGGCGGATTGGTCGTGTGCTGCGTAGTGCTTGATACAGGCAGCAACCTGGCGCTCTTGGAGGCCATTGATGTAATGCAGTGCCAGGGTCCCGCTGAGAACAGGGTCTTC